ATTGTTCATTTATATTAAATTTAATTTTTTTTAAAAAAATTAAGATTTGTAAAATAAATTGTTTGAAATAGAAAAATTAGAAATGAATGAAGAAATAGAAAAAAAAGAATTAGAAGAAGAAGAAAAATTAAAAGAAAAAGAAAAATTAGAAGAAGAAAAAGAATTAGAAGAAAAGATAGAAGAATTAGAAGAAAAATTAGAAGAAAAGAAAGAAGAAGAATTAAAAGAAGAATTAGAAGAGAAGAAAGAAGAAGAATTAGAAGAAAAGAAAGAAGAAAAATTAGAAGAAGAAGAAAAAGAAATAGATGAATTAGAAGAAAATTTTGATAAAATTAAATCTATTTCAATAGATAATAGTAATTATTTTTATTTTTATTTTTTTTTCAATGTTAAGGTGACCTCTTGGCTATTTTTTTTTATTCAGTTATTAGTTAACTTTACTATATGCTAAGCTCCTATTAGGGCCGTATAGTATATATATTTGGAGAATATATACTAGCTACACGTACAACTTTTGATTGTCTATTTAAATAGTTCACTTATTACTAAGTTCTATACTAGATACTATATTTATAACTCAACTAGAAGGTTACTTATTTAAACTCTCTGTATCTATAAGATTAATCTTTATAACTGAGCGAGAATCCAGTGCAAACCTCTTATTTTTAAATACCTGGCTTAGGATTTTAAAGCAAGCTTCAACAATTTAAAAAAACCCTTTATTCTTGAAATAAACTTGCTAGAGCTTTCTATACCTACAATCTAGTTAATCTAGACTTTAGTAACTTATGCTGAGTTCAAAAACAAGTACTTGTGAGCTGAAACCACTACTATTACCTACTTCTTGCCCTTGTAGAGTTTACTCAAACCTCAGTACCTACTTTACAGACTATTAAAAGTACTTCTCGAATCTCAAACTACTAATTCAGATAGTCTAGAAGAGACTTTCATCTGAAAGTTACTGGTCCTCTAGTAATCGCAAATTAAGCAAATCCTTTTTCTTCAATTTTAGTAGTCTGGTTAGTGAAAGTATCTCTTTAAACATTTTGTCTATTTAGTTTTTCTAGTTTGATTTAGCTAGTCTGAACTACCAATTCAGATAACCTAGAAGAAACTTTTGCTTGTAAATTATCAGTCCTCTGGTAACCGCAATTAACCAGATTCTTTTCTTTTAGCCCTGGCAGCCTGGTTGGTAGAGTACTTTTGCTATATACCTTAGTCCCATTTAGTTTTCTGGTTTTTCCTAATAATAGTCTTTTACATAATACTGTTAAAAGTTTGTGCTACTTCTCTACTCAGGTTTTGCCAAGCAGATATTTATCTCTCTAGTTTCTTGGTTTTACATGAATAATAATCCTCTTAGATATTTGGTATAATCTTGATTACAAATCCTAAATTTGACCAATCGATGAAAGATAATAACTATTCCACAACAAAATATTTGAATTTCATCGATAGTGGGATTTGAACTCTAGATATGCTACTTGGGGGTGTGATAACTTTATTACTTCACTAAATCACCACACTCTTGTAATTATTTTTATTAATTAAATAGAAATTTTAATATATTTATTGTCAGGGATGATGCTGAAATCGGATGATGCTGAAATTTTGACTTATTTTATTATGAAAATGTAAAAATTTTTTGGG